TGTAATATTTGATGGACGACAACATACTTCTAAATCTCCTGTGCATCTCCGATATCTGTTTTGAAATCAAAAGTGATTGACAATCAGAAGTTCGTAATAAAAGACTCTTGTCAATTTTCATTCTTTTTAAAATGAAAAATAAAAAATATTTTGACATCTTTAATTTTTCTATCTTTAAATTTTAATAAGATATCGATAAAAAAATTAGTTTATACTTATTTACTATTTTTACTTTAAATAAAGAAATTTGTGATTTAATTGGACAGATTGTTCTTGTTATTAATATTTTTTATTGAAATAAAAAAACTCACCGAATATCGATTGTTCCAATGCCATCCCCAATTATGGTACGATTAGCATCGCAAAGATAATAGGGTACACAAATGCAATCCGCAGTAGGTGGTGTAGTCGGCACTTGTTCTATTTTGTTAATCTTCTTTTTTAATTTAAGTAAATGAAACAAAAATAAAGAAGGCGATTCCTTATGAAATGAATTGTCTAACGTTCTCACTGTGTTTTTATTTGACTCGTTTAATGCTTTTGAAATCATTAATAGAATCGTGATAGCGTATGCCAACGTAAAGAGTCGCAACATGGCTTGTTTCCTATTCGCCGGCTCGTTTCCTAGTGAACGATTTTTAACACCAGTCAACGTTTTTATGTATACAGGATGCATCGATATTTCCTAACCCATGGAGAATATATAGATTCATACACAAGGCTAATAGATATTTTATATGGATCATTGTCAATTTTTTAACACAATGATGGTATTATGATGTATCCACCAAGCCAAAGATGTAACCAGATAAAATTAATGTTTCCGCACACGTCGTTCATCACAACAAAATATTTTTTTCTAAAGGGATTATTGTATATTTAATCAAGGACTGTTTGACACGCTAGATTCCTTTACAATAAAATGTATTTAAACGATTATTCGCACAACTCGTAACGAATACAATGAATGACCTATTTACCTAACAAACCATTGATGAACGTTAAGTTACCGGTATAAAATATTGTCCATATTCACGACTAGATTGCGATATAAATAAAGTGCATTTACGTTATGTTGAACGATCAATAAATTACTTGCATGTAATATGGATCTAAAAAAATTAAATTTGAAATGTAATATCGAATTAAAAAAGAAAAAGACCGTTTCAACTTTCTTCGAGATAGCAAACATAGAATTTGTTGACTATCGATAAGATTGATTGCTTCTATCGTTAGAAACGATTTGTGTTTGTCGATGCGTGTATCATAAAATGTGAACAGTTTCCATGAAATCCATTGTCATACAACAGTTGATAGTTTACTTGTAAAATATATTATTTTTTCATATTTTACTCGCGGTGATTATATGTATCTCTATGTCATTTTTTCTGGGCTTGGATTATGACTAAAATAGATAGACTAAAAAGGAAAAAAGGCAGGAAACGTTCACTTGTACTATCTTTTTAGTGCAAAGCGCGTTTTAATGATGGCAACTGACAGAAATGTAGAAAAAGAAAGTTATAAAATTTATTTTTGTTTTAATACTTAATAAAAACAAATTTTATACTAAGAACAATACAGTTAAATTAAATAAACCTTGATTCTTTACTAACAGATTTAATTTTTTTAAAAAAGATTCTTGTTTTTTTTTTTTACTTTTCAATTACTTTAAAATAAAAGAAGTATATTTGTTTGAATTACAGTATTCTTTTATAAACATTATTTCTTTTATAAATCATGATACAAATTATCAGACTACATACACTTAAATAATGACACGCCGATAACAATATTAATAATATGATATAATATAATATAATATAATATAATAATAGTAATAATACAAATAACATTAATAATAAGAAAAATAATTAGATACAAATATGACGGTGGTACGCAAAAATGTACTCTAAAATTACAATGCAAAAATGGCGAACGAATCATAGTAAAATATCAAAATCAAAGTAAAATATAAATATTCACTTTTGATTCGCATAAATTCAAAAAATAAACAAATCATTCATATATTAGATTTTATCATCAACAAATTAGAAAAATTGATATCTTTTCTTTTTTTTTTTTTTATTCGAAGATTTGTGAAGATTTATACCATTCGATCGGCTCGCCATTATAATGTGCTCAATAAAGGACAGAACATGCGATGAAAGAATAATCGCGTGGAAATTAACATTTGTACAATTCTGGTTGAATCATCGAGGGGGGTATATGTTAGGTGATGAACGAAATCGTGAACAAATAAAGAATACTACCAGCGTAATAAACGTCGAAATTAGCTACCTCTTGTACGGCTGTGACTCTACTCTAGCTGCTATTATTACGTTATCACCTGCCACTCATAATCATAAGTCACACTGGCATCAGATTACGGTAACGTCATCTCGCGTTTTATTGTGAATCATCTTTTATACGAGTGACGCTGGCAACAGCAATCGCAAGATGGTTTCTTTCTTAATTATTCCTGTTATAATTTTTTTTTTTACGTATATATATATGTAAAAAAAAAAAAAAAAAAAAAAAAATTATCAGTCACGTGAAGAGAAATTTCGTCTGTCTGTGCTGGCATTTTAATGATCTTAATGTTAATATTCTCTTTGGACTGTTTGTAATGTATCACTTTTGAACGATAATACTTAATTACAACTATCAACTATAATATATAAATATTAGAAATACAATATCTTTATAAACAATTCATATTTTGTGGTATAAGAAATACTATATATATATATATGTATATATATACTATATAGAAACATTAATTTTCATTTCTTCGTTGCATTAATAAACTACTTCACACTGATAAACTCAACATAAAAAAAAAAAATAAAAATAAAATAAAAAGAAATAAAAAAAAATAACGTAAGTATCGTTGTAAATCTTTAGATATTTGTTCTAAAATCAAAAAAGAAAGACAACGATGATATGCGAACTATCGTTTGATTTCGCAATCGGAACTTGTTAAATGCTATGAGTCTTTTTCTCCTTACGCACAGTCAATAATATATCATGTACAAATATTCGAGTGCAATTAACTTGACAGTCAAATGTATTGACGTGTCTTGGAGAATATATTGTCATTCTTATTCTATACCTAATAATATCCTAACACGTAACTATTAATTATTATATAATAGGAACATAGCCGTAAAAGAATATAATAATATATAATTATAATCAATGTACACATATTTATGAATTGTCTTACTCGGTTCAATATAAATTTTTTGAAATTACAAATTAAAGTTATACATTTTATAAGAATTCGGTTAAAGAAATACGTATATACTTGAGCAATACAACACTAAAAAGGACAGAATGATCGTTCTTCCATTCTTTTTAACATGCATAGACAAAACCTCAGCAAGTCATTCGAAATGATATTAAATTGCACAAAATAATAGTAACTCGATTTCAAGACTGCCCAGGAAGTTATATCTCTTTAGACATAATCTATAATATATCATATGCTTCTGCATACAACAAAGTAACTGTTAGATTACAAGTTGCAAAATCAGCCAATTTTCTGAGAAACAACTATTCTGTCAGTTTAAATATTAATATTAAATAATAATATTTAAGTAATATTAAATTTCAATTCAAAATCCCTGAAAAATTGCCCAAACTTCATTAAATTTAACTAGAATTCAAAACTAGCTTAAACCTAGTTACAAAAATTGTCACTAATTACAAAAATATATAAACACAAAAAAGGAATTACAAAGAAACTTTGATTATCCGAACATTGTTTAAAAGATATAATGAAAATTGATTAATAAATACAAAATAAAAAAAAAAATAAATTTCGTATATTTATTTTGAAAATATTTATACTTATATATTTATTTTAGGATTATAAATTAAACGGCATTAAAAATAATTAATTTTATTACGTTATTTTCATTTGATAATATTTTCCGAAATTTGTTTTCTTTAAATTATTAAAACAAATCTTTTTTAATTAGTTCGAATAATCAACATTCAATACTCAGACTAATATATAAAAAATATATTAAATGATTCCCTAACTTAAATCGAAATTTCAAAATCAAAATCAATATAATGAAATCAATATATTTACGCGCTCGTCTATCCATGTTAAATATATAAATATTTTACGTTCGTTGTTTAATTCGACTCATGTGTTGTGTATTCTGAAAAAGATCGATAAACCAAGAAACAAAAAAAAGCTTTCTCTGCCTGGAAAGAGCCAAGAATCCGGCCATCAGCTATCGAAGTACCAAAAAACAAAAGAACGTAAACACTACAGCTAGTATATATACTTCGTTTATATACTATACTTATACTTCGTATAATACTTAGTATTATCCTTCGTTTCGACCTTCTTTGAAGCTTATGGTCAGATTCACAGGAACGAGAAAGGCTTCCTTTAGTTTCAAAATAATTATGCATCCAGAATCGTATCGAGAAATCCTACCTGATTCTATTTTTTAATTATTGCTCGAAAATAACGAGTATCATAGAGTCCGATAAATTAAAAGTGAAACGAGCTTCGTAAACTTCTCTATTATAAAGATGTCACGTAAATGGTAATATACATACAATTAGAAAAAAGTTAATTTTATGTGCAAAAATAAATTGAGAATACAAAATAAAATTTTTTTATTTAAGATTTTTTGAATAAATTAAAATTGAAAATTTGTCAAATATATGTGTGAATTTGGATAATTTTCAATTATATAATAATCAATTATCAATTATATAATGGATAAGAGTTTACACTATATGTAAAAATAAATAAAAATGCAGAATAAAATTTTTTTGTTTAAATTCCCATTTAAGAATACATACTAATTATAATAATCTAAACACTTTGGTTAATAAAGTATATTATTCAATTAAGAATTAGCCAAATTCACATATTAGTATTTGATAAATTTTCAATTGATATTTTTGAAAATAAAGCCTCAAACGAATGAATTCGTTTTATTTTAATATTAACTAATCTATTCTAATATAGATATTTTCAACTTATTTTTATAAGTAAAAAAACTTTCCTTTGCCCTTTCCTTCCCTATAGTATATACTATCAGTTAGGACATTCTATACATTATACTTAATGCTGTCAAATGATTAAGTATAAACTTTAAAAGGAACTATATCTCATTGGTCCATCGTCGACTTTTTAAGAAAAGCCTAAGTATCTTAAAAAGAAAAATCTTTTCTTTTATGACTTTTAATAAACATTAGTAATGTACAAACGCAATCTCTATGTTACATATTTTGTATAGATAAATAAAACTGCGTAAATGTTTTTAGTTTCAAATATCGTCTAATATTTTTTTTTTTAAACTTAATTAAACGTAGTACTCTGTCCATTAACGTGTCTCGATAAAAAAATTTTTTGCTGAAAACTATTAAGATTGAAAAACGTGATTTACTTTGTTAAATGATTTATAAAAAAATCAATTATATTTGTAATCACAAACAACATGGATTTTTTAATATTCATGACTGTCGTATAAAAAGTCTTGAAGAGTCTTATTAACATTATCACAGTATTTGTTTGTAAAGTTTCAATCTTTTTTTAAAGAGTCGTTTTCACACTGACGAACATTTGTCGACAATCTTAAGAAAAATATGAATATTTATCAATGTTATGTCAATGCATGTAAATGTATGTATATGAAATTAAAAAAAAAAAGTTGAAATTATCATAATATTAAGTGATGACTTGAAAAGATGATAAAAATATTCATTTATAAATAAATCTTTTTCGTAATCGCAAAGGAAACTTTATAGAAAAATGACACGTTTGACGAGAGTATATGGCACCGTTTTGTATAAATAATTTCTTATGACTAAAATGTCTTTGGATACAGCCTCTTGATTATCTAAACTCTAGACGATTCATATTACGATTCGAATAATAATCTTTTTCATAGTTTGCCTCCGAGCTTCAGTGGTTTACTTTATATTTCTTTTTCACTAAATATCGTATTGTCCAAACCGAAATAAATAAATGATGTAAGAACAGAAAATAAAGACAAAGTAAATGAAATGTAGAATAAACTGTTTTCTCTTTTGCTTAATCGATAAGATGAATTTCGTAAGATCCAATGGCAACCGAGCAACGAATGGTAACATTGTTTCGAGAAATCGTTACTAGGAATTTAATGTACATTCCTGTAAGGCACTTTGGTTCGTTTATATTTGAAAAGATGCGACGACGGTAAAATTACCTGCCAGCAGATGATACCGAAACGCTCGCGAGAGTTAAGGATGGAGGCACCACTTCTTCGAAATCCTTGAAAAGAAGATATACTTTTGATGTTTTATGGCACAAGAATGGTGACACGTGCTCGAGTGCCACGGTATTTTATTTGACGCGTCGTTTGCCCATAGAGTTTCTCAATAGTTTGAACGCATTTACTGTTGCCAATGTACCAGGGTTTTTGGTGCCTTTTGGACAATACTTGACCGTATGAGCTATGTCTCCACACGCACCGCAAATTGGACATGTATAAGCCCTAACGATTCACAAAAAAAATGATATGAGAAAAACAATTTGTAGCTTTCTCAAAAAAAGTTTCTTTTTTTCAACCTTCCATAATATTTTTTCTTTTCTTTTTTTTTTTTTTTTACTAGCAAAGTAATGATCTTGACTTTATTTTGTTTATTCTAAATCTGTTCATTATTCAAATTTTTAAAATTGTTTTGAATAAATGCGTTAAATGTTTAGTCAATAACAAACAAATAATCGGCGAAGTATTAAGTGAAATTTTGCTCGTGTTCAAATGCATTCAAAGATACTACGGAAGATTATAAGAAAAAAGATCGAAGGTTAGGAAAAAAGTTACCTTAAAACTGGACAGGAGACGCGACCATCAGCATCTTTCAGCAAGTGTTTACGGTAATAAGCCTCCTCTTCGCCATTATTTCTACAGAAAACGCATTCTGTAGGCAAAGGTTTCTTATTTTTCTTGCGGCGTGGTGTCGTTTCTGGCATTGTAACATTGTCCAGATCTGGACAATATTCAAAATCACGTCCATTATGACGGAACTCCTCCATTACATCTTCGACTATAATTGTCAAATTGTTATGTGTATTGTATTCCGTCAAAAAATATAAAAAATGTAAAAAATAAAATACAAAGAATAAATAAAAAGCTAATTTTACGCTTAAGATCGGGTAAAAAAATATATATATATAGAAAGTATATATAATCTTAGAAAGTTTTCGAAGATGATCGAAAAATGATAAAAAAGAAATATTTAATAACAGATAAAATTTGCGATCTGTATATTTTTGTTGTGAATTTAATGCGATACATCGTAAGTCGAGAAAATAACGTCCGTAGGTGTTGGGTTTCACGGTTTGTAAACATTGTCGTCCTAATTTTTCGAATGACGCAGAAACGATATTGTCGTTTAATCGAAAATATATAATATTTGTAACAAGTATTATTGTTGTCAACGTTTAAAAGCCATCAGAAAGTTACAAAAAGCTAACGTTCATTTAGCGTTTGTATTTTCATCTCAAATATTGTGTATGTGTTGATATTTAATGAAATAGCCTGCCATCTTTGAACTCCTTTGAATCCTAAATCGAATGTTTCAAGCAAAAAAGCACGCGATCTTCTGTTTACGTTTATACAATCTTAAACATCTGTATCACCCAGACAAGAACGATCACTTGTAATCTTTTTTTTTTCTTTTGTCTTTTTCCCTCGAAAAAGCAAATGGTCGACAGACCATTATGTTTATGAAATATTGAAATTATTAAGTAATACCAATATATTAGTTTTTTTTACGTAATTCAATGAATTCGATCGAATAAACGTTTCTAGGAATCTCTTGAACGACGTGTTATTCAGCGGAACGTTTTAGAATACAGAATTCCTCTTATCGATTCGTTTGTTTACAAACTAAGGAAAGTATCTACTAATCGGAACGCGAGTTTATCACGCATAATGAATCATGATCAGAACGCACGATTTTAAATCGAAATACATTACAACGCGATAGTGACATTTTAAATTAAGAAAAAAAAAAAAAATAAACAGATATCTATTCAAAAATATTAATTTTGACATATTTATAATTATGCGAATTGGAATGTATGTGAATAAGAATGTATCATGAGCAGATTAATAAGAAACGATTTCTTCTTTTAATCGAAACAAATGATCATCGATGACAGTTTATCCTAAGTTATGAGGAATCCATGATGAGAAAACGATTATTATATAAAAATTATTTACATTATTTTGTATTTGATTTAAATTATTTATGTAAAAAGAAAAGATATTAATAAAAAATTTATATCATGATGTAGAAATTAAATTCATTGCGATATAAATTATGATAGAAATATAGGTTAACGTGAAGCAAAAAAAAAAAAAAAAAAAAAAAAAAATAAGTACAAATTAATATTAATATTTTTAATTTTTTTTTTCATAATCGTTTACGACGCAAAAAAATTACGTTACGTCATATAACCTATGTTATGCGATCTACATAATTCGAAAATTTATAAATGCAAAAATTCGAAAATGTAATAAAAAATGTCTTATCGATTTTTTACATATCTAACGTATCAAAATCAATGAAGCGCGTCTCATTTCAATAGATTTTTCATCATCGATATTATTGTTCAATAAATTTTCCAACAAATTCTATACTTTTAAATAAATTGACTTACCATTTGGAACAGATGTGTTTTCTGTCTCGATCGAAAAATTGACAAATAATCTCTTGATCTCTTCTTCGAGGCTAGTGTTGAACGGATAAAAGAAGTTCGACACCTGTGGCATCGGAAGTTTTTGCATGAGCGAGACATGCATCGCGAACAATAAACAGAAATTACGATAAGAAACGAATAAGAAAGAAAACTGACAAAATCGCGTACACGTAACTTTTTTACGAGAAGATGGAAGACGAAAGATCGCGAATAACGATAAACGACGTCTCGATCCACCACAGTCGAGTTTCGAAATTCAACTGCCGAGTGCCAAGCTAGGATGTCACTTTAGCGTAACCAACGATCGCGAAGAAAGGATCTGATGGTGGGGATGATGCCTCCATACTTGAATCCGTATTTCGTATATTCAAGTACTTATATATTACATATTCCTGTAAAAAAATAATAATTGTATATGTAAAAATATACAATTTAATTATTAATCTATGATTGATCTATAATATGAGTTTGAAATTAATAATTCAATGATGGAAAAGGAAGGCGTGAAATATGAAACTGTATATTTTGTTGGTACTAAAAAAAAATATGATTTAACGTTGTTGAATTTTCAAACGGTTTTATTGAGTTTTTATTAAAAATTGTTGATGAAATTTTTGAAATGTAATATTCGGACAAAAGAGCGAATTGAGATGAAACGAATGCCGTATCGAGATGTTTGTATTTCCTGGACGGCTCGGAAAGGTCGAATCGCTTTGATCTCGCCGCGAGACGACAGTGACGTTAAATTGTAATTTAAATCCACAGACATTATGCCAGGCTACGAAAGAAGACACAGTTTTTCACTCATTTATTTTTAATATCAATATGTATATCAGTTATATAAAAATACTGGAAAACGATCGTTCGCATTGCGGTACTTTTTTAACGATCTGCGTGTACTTTAATGGTAATTAATGGTTCGCTTGCGGCAACTGGTTTCGATCGATGAATCGAAATCGTATCTTTTTTGGTGAAAAAAGAGACAAATGAATATTCGCTAATCTTCATCTTTATTGTTACTGTGTAAATATGTAGGCACTGAACAAATAATGTTTCATAATTTGTTTACAAACATTTACATTTACTGATCTTCTTTTTTGTTCAATCATTGAATATTCTCTGCGAGCAGCTTGGCCACATTAGCCAAGACCGCTTTTAATCCATCTGCTCGACCTTTTTAACATCCTTACGCGTAAATATCATTATCGTCTTTCAGCATTGTATGCGCTCGACCCAATTTCTAATTACGATCTCAATATTTTATCAATATATATATATATATAATATATATATTTATATATATATTTATTTTATTTTGTTATGTATATTTTAATCTCTATCCGCTAATATAATGTTTTTCTAGTCTAAAAATTACCACGATTATTAAAGATAATATATACTTCTGGGAAATTATAATTAAAATAATAGTAAATATAATAATATGTCAAACATATATGTCCCGTGTTCGTGTATGAGTGTAAAAAAGAGAAAAAGAGATAAAACGATAAAGGAAGAGGGAGAAAAAGTGAGAAAGATGGATGGAAAGAACAATGAAAGAAAAACAATGAAAGGAATAAAACAGGACGCGGTTCGTGAGGAAAAAAATTACAGATAAACACAAATTCTAAACTTTGGCTAATGAGAAACAATATTCCACAAAAGCGAGAACGCGACGTCGTTCCATCGATCGATCAGTGCCCGTTATCGCATCTTTCGATGATTTTCAAAACGTGTTATGTTATTAAGTAAATAAACGAGAATTAAAATTTTAAAAATGAAATAGAAATTGAGATTGAAAGAGAGAAAGACAGAGAAAGAGAGAAAGAGGAAAATAGAGAGAAAAGTAAAAGGAGACGAATAGGCAGTGGAAGAGGAAGTTTTCTGTACGAAACGGATGCGATACGAATGCGCATGCGTGTAATGCTTGCGTGTATGTGTACGCAATGATCATGCATATGATGATTTACCATCGGTAAAAGAGAGAAAGAAAAAAAAAAGAAAATTCTAATTTTGTTTCGTTTTGTTCTTTTTTTTTTTTTACTTTTCATTTCTCACGGACAGCGGAAAGAGAGAAAGAACGAGAACGCAGAACTGAGGGGTTTCGAATTGTTTTTATCGTCTAACCGTTTCAGCCTTTTTCTTCGTGTCTCAAGTATAAAATTAAATGGGCGATAAAGCCTTCGTGTAAAACTATACTCATATACTTTGTTCTCTCTATTGTGCTCAAGTGTAACAACCTTTTTTTTTTTTTTTTTTTTTTTGCTATACATGCGTGTTTTATTATATTTTGTTTTTTCTTCGTACTTTCCTGTATATTACGTATACACTCGGAAATTCTCGAGTATTGAAAATTGACAGAGACTCGATTACGTTGTTATACATGAGACACTGATAACGGCGATGCTGTTCTCTTAACAACGAAATGTAACGCTGATTAATTTAACCGACGATCATTACTTTTTTAATACGCATTTTAATCGCCGATTAGGGTTTCTCATATTTCTTTTTCCCCGACTTCCATTATTTTTTTTGTTTTTTTATTTTTCTTCCATTTCTCCTATCGCGTTTGTATTTTGTAGTAATTTTAAGTGATCTTCGTACGTCGATGTCGCGGTGGTCCGTTTTGGAATAGCTATATAATTATTATAAATATATTCATATGTGTATGTGTCTCTGCGTGCGCGTCCGTGCATGCGCACGCGTACACGCTTATCCTGCGTGCGAATGCACACGCGCGTACACGTATACAATAGGTCCATGCGTTTTTTTTTTTTAAATCTTTTGTAATGCGCGTGTAATGCAATGTATGTGACAGTGACATAGTGTATACTAGGAATGTACATAGTGTACGTAGATATAATTAAGTTGTGTATAAAACGATGATACATACTATATTCATTACTCGTTTATATCAAACGACACATAATTATGATATCAATTTTTTTAGTCTCATTGTACGATGCACACGGCGATCGGGCATCGTTCGCCAATAATAGGCTAGTCTTGTCCCGTCTTCCCATACAATGTCGATGTAGTCCGGCGATCTTGTTACGGTCACAAGGTCGCGCGGCGTGAGATTACCATTACAAGAACTTCCAAATGAATGGCCATCAGTCTTTGAGACGTACGGTTTGGCATACGCGCGATCTCTTCGTTTAATAAAAAAAAAAAAAAAAAAAAAAAAATGAGAAAAAAATATGAAATATAATGTATATTATGTTAAACGAATTGATAATTTCGTTTAATAAATCGTACAAAGATAATCGTTAACCGTTTTGGTGCCTAAAAGCAAATAGGGAAATACCGACGCGATGTACATACGTATATGTATGCATCATGAAACATGTATAATCGTTTCAAGTTATGCGCAAGATAAAATCAAATATTTTGAAAAATGTTTATGGCACCAACAGGGTTAACAAAAGTCCCATGCAATTTGTACTCTCGCGAGGAAAAAATTCGCTTAAAAAAAAAAAATGTCTTGCATAAAAAGGAGGAAAAAAAGCGACGTTACGAAAAGAAAAGGAAAAGACTAATGTTAAACTTGGAGTCCTTATGGACGGTAGAAAAGTAGGAAATTTTTCTAAGGATCAATTGGCCGATAAAAAACAAAAAAATAAAAACGAAACAACGAATGACCAAAAAATGAAAAAAAAAAGTCGAATTTCCTCTTTATGTTACACTTTTCTTTTTTTTTTTTCTTTCTTTCGTCTTCTTTTTTAAATTCGTTTGTTCCTTTTTGTTCAAAATGGCTCGATGTTGATCCTCAAAAACATGACCATCCATTCTGGACAATCCGCGTTGATTATTAATATTAAATATTAATACTTCTAGTCGTATACTCTTGCTAGAGTAAAAGTGGTCTTGTGCGCCCCAGATACGTTTCACCGGGACGTGCATAGGCAATACAGAGTGCTTCAGGCGCATGTATTCTTGCGTTCTTGATATGCGATAGTACTAACCTAACAAAACTTGTCCTTATATTTCTCATTTGGTATGTCTTAGTCTTACTTTACTTAAAAAAGGAAATAATAATAATAATAATAATTATAATAGTAATAGTAATAATAATAATATAATAATGATAATGATAATGATAATGATAATGATGATAATGACAATGACAATGACAATGATAATGATAATGATAATGATAATGATAATGATAATGATAATGAT